GAGGGAGACAGAGAGAGAGGGAGACAGAGAGAGGGAGGGAGAGAGGGGGAGAGAGAGATGCTACACAGACTTGAGTCCAGGACCCCATACTCTCACTTGGCTTTTCCACTGGGGCCTCACGCTCTCAGCTGACTTTTTCCATCCAAGCTGCCACTCTACCACTTGAGCCACGCTTCTACATCGAGCTTTTTGCTGTTTATTTGAAGACAAAGAGTCTCACAGACTTTTCTGCCCTAGATGGCTATAAACTGTAATCCTTAGATTTCAGCCTCCAGAGTAGCTAGGATAACAGGCATAAGCCGCTCAACATCCCTTTTGAGGTATTAATCCCACTGCTTAAAATTTTAAGAAGATATTTCTCCAAAAATAAATTTTAAAAGTTAAAGATGGTCCAGTTGCAAAAACAGAAAAGAATTTATAGCTTAGCACAGAATTTCATTTTTGAACTTTTTCAATAAAATACAGGGGACAAAGGGTGTGACACTCAGTGGTATTAAATACAATTAACATGATGACATGCGCAAGGCCATGAGTTCCATCTTTTGCACTGCTTCCACCCCCCACCCCCAAAGTAAAGTAATCCAGTGGCTCACACCTGTAGCTACTCAAGAGGATAAGATCTAAGGATCATGACTCAAAGCCAGCTTAAGCAGGAAAATCCATGGGACTTGTATCTCCAACCATCAAACAAACAAGTAGAGCTGTTGCTCAAGAGTAGAGCACCAGGCTCTTGAGGGAAAAGGGCAAGGGACAGCACTTAGGCCCCGAGTTCAAGCCCCAGTACTGGTACACTGGTACACATGCATACACATACACATTAGGCCCTGAGTTCAAGCCCCAATACTGGTACACATGTATATGCATACACATACGTGTGTGTACACACACACACAAAGAAAATCCAGACCAGCTCCCAAATTGATTGTCCACCTGCACTTTATGCCCCCCAAACCAGAAACCAAGATGTAGTAAACATTTAAAAGACAAAGTAAAATTGGGCCACCTGCCATATACACCTTCTTTACCATTAAACCAAAAACAGAATGGAAAGATTTATTTAACATAGAAAGGGCTACAAAATTAGACTTATCCAGTCATCAATAGAAAGAACTCATGCATACAGATACAAAAAGAGTATATTCATCCTGGTTTTGTAATTAGGTTGAGTGATATCAAGATAAAAGGCAAATAACATGTACATTTCTAATTTGTTTTTTTTAAAGGCAGATTTGACAAGTGATTTTGCTAAGAATGCTGTCTTGGTTATACATCTGGATTATAAACCATATTAGACCTTGAAGCCTACTTAATAAAAAAAAAAGTTGGAAATAAGCAAATGATTAGTTGGAGGTATGTGACTTTCTGGAACTCTCCTAGGGAGAAAGTTTTATTACCATTATTAGTGAACTGTTTTTAATCCTTCACATCAAAGAATCTGTATTAACCCTAGGGTTCTGAAACCAAAATAACCCATAAATGAAAGACTGTGAGAAACCACCACATGTTAAGGGTAGTCTGTTTGTCGGAGTTTGGCCAATTCACAGCTGATCTCCATAAGTAAAGAGATCTTCAAAAGGGAGCAGAGACAGAAGACCTCAGTTCAAATTCAACTTCACCCGTCACAGAAAATGGGGTTGAACCATGTAACATCCTAGGCCTTGGTTTATACTGAGCTGAAATTTCAGGAGTAAAATATGTAAGTTAGTCCTTTATAAAAACTCTTCTAACACCACAACACAGGCTCCAAAAGTCCTTTCTCCAACTCTTGGAGAGTCACAGAACTTTAGAATTGCTAGCTAATTCCATTTTAGGGATAATCGTGCAAACCAGCACTGTATGCAAATACTTTCACAAACTTGGGAAGGGGGGGGAGTTTTACCACCACTGAAATAAGCATGTAAAAGACAGTTCTGAACAAAGCTATTCTAGGGACACAAATCCCCCTTGTATGTACATTGTATATGTGTGTATATGTATATGCATATTACTTTGCTTCTATTACTAATTCCTGAAACTTACAAGTTAAGCCAAAATTTCATCAGAAAAAGGAAAATAAAGCCATTTCTTTAGCTATAAAATCCTACTCACAACCTACTGGCTATGAAATCCTACTCACAACCTACTGGCAATAAAATCCTTATAATTGGGTTAAAATGTCTAGTGGAAACATCGACATAACATTAACCTCACAGCTATGTTGGCAGTCCTCATTAAAATATGGATTACCGCTCTATTAGCCCAGGGACAGCGGTTTAATGTTCTCTGTGAGATAAAGAATCATCAACTCAGAAAAGATGTCTAAAAACGGACAATTTAATTAAAGCAATTCCATTGTCTCTTTAAAAAAAAAAAAAGAAAGAAAAAACACAAAAAACTGTGCCCTCAATCACCCAGTATCAAAAACCCACTATGGCATCAAATAAGTTGTGTGTGGTTAAAGAGACAAACTGTTCTTTTGGCCATGATAGGAAGCAGAAAAAGGCTGACTATGAATCAGTTGTTTTAGCTCCATGGTGAACATGAATTATGATAATTTAGACATTCTGGTGGTTAAACGAAGAAAGCAGGAAAACTATTGCTTCCAAGTCCAGCAAAAGTTAAAGTTTGTGGCACCATAACTAAAAGACTGGGTCATGAAACGCGACCTTAAATTTATTTCTGGACTTTCCTGCTTCCACTAAAATGGATGACACAATTTCCCATCCTTTATTGGCAAATCACAGCAGCTTGGAAGGCTGGATGGCACTGGCTTGGCAGGTATCCGGAACAACCCTAGGAGGAAGTCCCGAAAGATGTCAAATAGCAGACTTCCTTTACTCCAATACTTCTCACTGTGAAACTACCAGGATGTATGGATGATGTCCTTTGACTGAAACCCACCAAGGATACCAGCTGAGGCAAATTCTGCAGACTCCAGCACTAGGGAGGGAAGGTCCGTGTGAGCTCTTGAAGTAGCTGAGTAAAACATTCACACAAGTACTGCCACAACGAGCACCCCCTCAGTCACTCATAAATTCTTTCATTCCCAGCAATGAAGCAGCAGCTGTTAAAATCCAGGCATCTTCCCAGTAGCAGCAGATCTGAAATACCTCTAGGCTGGCCAGAGAAGCTTCCCAACTGCTTTCCCCTCCTTCCCCTCCGCCCCCTGCACCCCACCCCGGTCCCAGGAGTGCCAGCCTGGCAGGGATAGAGATGACCCGGGAAGGAGGGGGGGGGAGTAGCGGATCAGCTGAAAGCAGACAGCGAGGCAGGCTCCCTTCCTTCCCTCCACAGGGAAACACCACCCCGCGGTGCCAACTGATCGAGTCTCTCCGCTCTTCTCCCCGCCCCCAATGCATACAAACTTCGGTCGTCTGGCGTGTCTGGCATTTCCAGAGTTCGCGACCTCAGCCCTCCCCAGCCCTTTCCTCCAAGATTTCCTAACCAGGAGACTCTTTCCTGCGCAGGTCCCACGTGCATCTCGCATTTTAAGAGTCCACCTTGGAAACCCGCCGGGAGGGACGACGCTCCCGCTGGGGTCAAGTTCAAGATGAAGGTGCCCTCCTCATCTCCGGGTGGACTCCAGCAGGGATCCGAGCTAGGAATTCGCGTCCAATCCCTCCCGACGATCGGGGGGGCGGGGGGGAGGGAAGCGGGGTGGGGGATGAGCCCAGGGGGGCTGCGGGAAAGAACACCACCGGTCGCCATCCCCAGCTCCCTCTGGTTGCGGCGCCGGATCGGTACCTGACCACCGCCGCATTTCCTCCCGGAGCCTCACACAAGAAGTTTGGAGAACGCCGGTCCAGGGACCTTTCTGTTTGCAAACCCGCCACACAATGCCTAGGGCTTCCTTCCCACCCCACCCCCCGAAACCGTTCCGGAAAGCCGCCACGCCAAAGCCCCGGAGCTCCCCACACCCCCGCCCCCCCGGCTCTGCGCCCTGCACCCCAAGGTCCTCCAAAAACAAGGCTGCTCCCGGCTACGTCCTCTCAAAGTAACCACTCCGCGCCCACGAATAAGGGGACCCACAATCCGAGCACCACCCTGGTCTTGCCCAGCAGAAGAAATCAAGGTCTGATCCGATCTCAGCCACACCAAGAAAAAAGAAAAGAAACCAGCGTGCATATGCGGATGGCAGTGCAGCAGGAGGCGAAGCGGGGCGCAGAGTCCGGCCAGACCAGGTACCCCCGGCTGAAGTTCGCTCCGCAACTTCGCGACCGGCGCACCGCCAGCCACCACCCCCCCCCGACCCGGGACACTGCGGGGCCCGGCCAGCCTGGCCCCCCGCCTCCCTCGCCCAGGCACCCGGCCCAGCCCAGGCACCCGGCACGGCCAAGCCAGGCGGGCCCCACGTAGAGGCGGGAAGGTGGGCGAGACTGCGCGCCCAGAGAGGGTGGTCCCGAAACTCTAGCATGTCCACATGCCCCAGCTTCCCCGGACCCCGGATCCGCACGGCCGGGCGCAGAGGAAACCGCACCGGGAAGACGCCGGCTCCCCCGAAAGGCGCCGAGCCCGAGGCCCCAGGCGCCCAACATGTCTGTGCCTATCCCCGGAAAGCTCCCGGGTGTGCCCGGCGGAGGAGGGGGCGCTCCGGAAACTTTCCCACACGCCTTCCACTCACCCCCATCACCCTCTCTTCCTCCCCGGGACCCTCTCCGCCGCGCCTCGCCGCACCCCGGGCGCCTAGCCGTGTCCGAGACGCAGGGAGGCCCGTGGCGGCGCCCGGGCAGCCAGCGGAGTTACCTGCCGGGAAAGTTTCCAGCTCTTCCGTGCGGTTCCCCACCCCCAGGGCTGGGCCTTGGGGCACGGCCAGCCGGGCAAATCCACGGCTGCCTCTCCGGCTTCCGAAGCTCGGCTCCCGCAGCTGCCACTGCGAGCGCTGCGCTCCGGCCCGTCCCCCCCACCCCACCCCCCAGCCTCGCTCGGCCCACACCGGGGCCTCATTGGCAGCGCGAATCCCCGCCCTTGCGCGTGTTCCCGAAG